TGGGAGGTATCTGACTGAAGGAGTGTTAGTGGATGTCAGCGATGAAGTATAGTGAAAATTACATTTTATAAATTAACGGAAGAGTGTGATGATACCGTTCACCACAAAGGACTTCGACTTGTACCTATTTCTACTTTTCTATCATGTTTATTTAGCTCGTTAATTATTTACGAGCTTCATGGTGACGTTACGTTTTCCTGAGCTATGAAAAATGTATTTCATTTGATGCATTTGCTCATAAACAAAACAAAATAGTGACCTCAGTGTTAGGTTAGTCCTTCGCGCCGGTCGTCCCCCATCCACGTGCCGCCGATCCGTCGACTAATGGGTCGGCGCTATCGCTCGCGACCTGGATACGAAATCTGCTCCCGATCCCCCAGCGCGCCGGTGTACCCCCCGCGGTCCCGTGGGAGTCAGCCCCGGCGGCCGGGAGGGGGGGGGGAGGGCGTCAGCCGACACCCCCAGATCAGATAGCAGTCAGCTCACACCGCACGCACGCGCGCCGGCCGTGGAAGGCAGCGCGGACCGTCCGGCCAAATATCAACACACTCGTGAGCGAAACGACGGGGTGCCTTTGCGCAAACCGAGCTGTTGGCTGTAGAGAAAGACGGTGTCTGGTGACATCTTGTCACGGAGACGGATGATGCGGTCTTTATCACGGGCGAGAGATGGAGACGACGAACTAGGACGGGGCGTCGTACGCGGCTGAAACAAAGCTGGACGCACCGAACCGTGAGGGGCGATGAGTGTGTGGGATCTTGCGCGAGCGGTGAGAATCCTGCGCCGCTGAAAACGCGCACTCTCACTCGTGGTTGCAGGTTTGTCGCGCCCTTCACCGGAGCGCTCGCGGCCGTTACGGCTCTCGTTAGCCTGCCGGGGCCGTATCGGGCCGCGGTGATCGGTTTATACGCAGCGTTGCAGTCTGTCAGACCTGTTGACGCCGTGGCTATCGTTAGGGCGCTCGGCGCGAGACCGATGCTGCACGGGTTACGTCAGAGCCAAGGCCGGCCGCCCGGCGCGTCTCGCCCGGCACAGATTATTGTTTATGGTCATGGGAAACCCATCGGCGCCAATTAGCTGTCCGTCATGCCGGTGTGATAATGGCACGCCGCCAGGAGATAGCAGCGCTCCCCCTGGACGTCCGAGATGCCCCGCCGGCGGCCGGAGGCTGCGACTGGAGCGGACGGAACCACTGCTGACTGACGGACGGACGGCTGGAGGGACTGGGCGGGTGGATCCGATACAGGTGGACTCAGCTCGACAGCCAGGTCGGGCGCCGACCGCTGCCGGCGGCGCTGCGTGCCATACTCTCCGTCAACAGGGTCACCCGTGGCGTGTCGGCCGATCGAACAGCGCTCGCGCCGCACCGGCAGGGCGTCATATCTCCGGCCGCCCGCGGCGCCGGGATCGTATCTCCATCGCGCGCTGTGCCGTGCAGGATATCGTGGCCCCAGCGCCAGCCTGCAGGGAACCCGATGCAAATTATCCCGATGGATAGCAGCGCAGTCTGGCTGTGTCGGTTCAGCACGACCCCGATCTATAGCGCGGTCGTGTCGCGGACTAACAGGCGGATTAGCGTGCGTAACAGCGGTGTCTGTCTTGGAAGGATGTTCGTCCTTGGGCTGACTGAAATAGTGTCGAGAAAAGCACCGATGAAGCGGCGCCTTCTCCGCGAAATGATGAGGTATATGATGGGTTGGCGACAGACCTGTCTTGTCTCCTCAAACGGACTTGTCACTGGCGTCGGGAAGATGAATTTGCCGATAGGAGATGGATCGCCTGACAGTTATCCGCGGATTGTGGCTGCTATCTAACAGCCAACTGCAACGGTAGCTTCCTCGTCAGATGACTCTGCCGGAGCAGAGTGAAATGTTAACAAACAGCTCCTGGGAATATGGCGGTAATTGGCTGGCGTTGAAACGTGGGAAGCCCAGTTTCGTGGAAGATGAATGCAGATGTGAACAGCGTAACGGGCAGACTCGGCTGCAGAGTGACAGCTTCTGTCAACACGGATAGCGAGGGTGCATTTCTTGCATCTCATTCAGTCATTGCGATGCTTTCTCTTCGAGACTGTGTTTATGTGCGTCAGTGCAACTCTTGTGCAGTGCATCCCTTCGTGACGGATGCGGTAAATAAGAGCCATGGATACTTGCGGAGAAAAGAAATGCGCAGCACTGCATTGCGGACTCACTGGTGTTCACGAACGCAAAGTTAAAAGTGAGAAAGTCCTCAGTCAAACTAGCTATTTTTAGCGTCCTATTGTTAACCTAGCCAATGCACATCTTCACATCATAGCTTATTGAGAAGAAGAAAAAAATCAAACAAAAATTGAAAAAGTGTGACACAAATGAAAAAAGAAAAATTCAGTCAAACGTTACAGTGCTAGTTCCCAAATAAATGGTTCCCTCGTCACAGCTCTCATCGGCCGATCTCTCCCACCTTCGCACGATCTCGCCGAGACTAAAGCGCGAGCATCTCTGTCCTCCGCGAACAATGCAGTCCCGCTGCGATCCAGGTCAGGTCACCTCGCGGCCCGGTCGACCGAGACAGGCCGCCTCCCGTGCCGATTCGGCCCTGATCGGCCCCGACACGGGAGCGGCGCCGCGTGGGCTCGTCGTGTGCGCTCGCGATCGACCTGAGAAGCGCCCCGGTCCGTCCCGGGTCGGTCCAGGCGTCGCCGAGCTGGTGCCGATGATGTATGATGTTAACTTCAGTCGCCCCGACGCCGGCGGCGGCGCTCGACGCGGCGGTGGGTCGACGGGCCGTCGTTTCCCGCGGACGCACACCCGTGACCCGGCGCCGGGGTCCCGCGGCGATGTTAAACACGGTCGGGGTGGGCCAGTGGCGCTCATCTGCAGTCCATCATGTTCTCCGGCCTCAGTCGACGGTGAGGGTCTGACGTCAGACGGACGGCGAGAGACGGGCGCTCGCTGTAACGGCAAGGTGACGACGGAAGGTCGCCCAGCGTGCCCCCGCTGACCCGGTGCCGCGCCGCTAATCATGTTTGGGAGACTTCGTGACTTCGTAATCGCGGTAATTTGACGAAGATGTGTGTCTTCGTGTCCGAGTCCGTTCGCATGCAGGAAAGCGATGTCAATATTAAGGTCGGCTTCGGAGAAATCTATCTGTTTCTTTGCTGGCAAGAGACCTTCACTCTGACGTGTCAGCTCGAGCCGCGGCCGGGCAGAGATGGAGGCTGGTTCCCGGGTGGAAGACTGCGACCCCAGCGACCCGGCCTTTCAACACGGCTGCTCTCAGGAGAAAGAGAGATTGAAACCGGCCGTGCTTCTACGTTATTGCTTTCCAAGCTCAAAGGCGTGGAAAGCTAAAACAAGCTTCCTTTGTTGACCGTGAGATGAGACGAGAGGCCACCTTTCGCTCTCGGAATTGTGGTCCAAGGTCTGCAGCGATGTCCGCTATGAATTTGATCCATGCAGCTAGAAGGATTGATCAGTGACTGGGAATTTGGCGCAGGTATTTGAGTAGCCGTTCCCAGCCAATTTGAATGACTGTGGAGCAGCTGGTCTAATGAAATATGTATGCGTTCTATAACCAACTCACGAGAGATAGGCGTATACAATTCTCCGTCACCTAACAAGTAGTGGATTTCTGCCAGCACTCACCACAACATTTAAGTGTCTCACTGGTGCTGTACAAGGTACCTGCTACCTTCACATATTTGCGTAATGTGTTCAATTTTCATTAGTAGTTGGACGTTACCACGCACCCACTTTTTCGGATACCGGGCTGTTCAATTTGCATGTTTAATCGTCCGCCAAGGCTGGTATTAGCCGATCTACAATCCCGCTTATTAGAAGAAAAGCATGAGCCACGCCCCCTTTCAGCGGGACATGTCGCTCGGAGGTGTGTGTGGGTGCGCGCTCGCGCAGGCCGCGCAGACATCTGATTGAAGCTCTGCGCCGCGATCGTCTCGACACTGGCTAATTGGACACGTGTTTCACATTCCGGACGGCGTCTGGACAAACACGGTGCCGTCCTCTGCCGGTGTGTTCGCCGCGCCGTCCAAACGGTGCCCCGTCCGACTGCGCCGGACCGGGCCGGCCTTAGCTCACGGCCACGCAGAGACGTGTGTGTCAGGTGGATGTGTCAGGAATGGGACATTGCTGATAAATGTAGACCCCAGCAGATGCCCAAGAATCTTGCCCAAGTGGATCGGTGAGAAAAGAATGTAGGCTCACGCTCCGCACGTCAAGTCAAAGCGATTTCAGGGTGCGAATAACAATTTGAAAATTCGGCTCATTTATTCACTAGTTCGCTTATTTTTCAATATGAAATTTAGTGTGATATTGATAATTTGATATCACTCAACAGCTGAAAGTCATTTTTATTGTGCGCATTAAAACAAAATATTTTATTGAATATTTAAGTTAAAAAATAATATCGTCCTGAATTTTGAATGACGCCAGGCATAAAACCGGCTTTCCGAAATCGGTTCCACTACTGGTTCCCACTGCGGTCCGATCGCCAGTGGCGCTACACCACCCACCGGCCGTTTGACACGGCTCTAACTAGACCCGCTCACCGCGCACGTATGAAGCCGTGCGCGGCCGACACTCTGGCTCTCTCCACCGACACCTGTCTGTCAGGACACAGCGGCAGCCGCGGGTCCCCACAATGGCCCTGTCAGCTCTCCGGCGCCGCCGACTGCACCCTCTCCGGGAGCATAACAACTAACAAGGGTCGCCAGTCGCCGAGCTATGCGCCAGTGCCGGTCGTTTGTAGTGCCTCTCCGGTAAACACCGTACCGATCGGATTTACAGCAACGAGTCAGGTAGCGCGGTGCCTTTGAAACTGGAGAAGCTCGTTGTGAGGGTCAGTAAGTGCGCGGGTCGTATAACCCTCCCCTCCACACACACTCGCACTGATCCGGTGCACCTGTGGTAGCCGTTGGGACGGTCGGGGAGGGCGAGGGGCGGGCGGCGCGCGGGAGGCATGCTCCGCTCGGCCGGCGCGCGCCGTCAGCCACGGCGGCGCGCGTCAGTCGTGCGGCTCGCTCCGCCGGGGAAGGTGGTGTGGTGACTGCGGGTCGGGTAGCTGCTGAACTGATCGTAAGGCGTGCCTGAGGACTGAGGTGCTGTGATGGTTGTGGTGTCAACGTGATTATGTGAACTTGGGACAATGTTTGTGGACTGAATAGTAGCAGTGCTCGAAAAAGGCGGTAGTTGTGGACGTCTGGACCCTCTTGGACTCTATAGTGCACTTTTTATCGTGTCTGAGCGAACTGTGACAACAGGGACGCTGTCTGCGCCTTTCGTGGCACCGTTTCTTGAACGGATCGATCTGTGGAAGACCAAACGAACCGGGAAACAGCTCCATCTCCCGCAGACAGATCGGATATCAACATCGCGAGCCGGAATAGTAAACCGGCGGACATCTCTCTTCCAATCGGTGATCAATCAGCCCGCTGACGGAGCGCTTTGAACAGCCGCCGACTCCGGGACCACGGTCCGCGCGGAGGAGCACGCGCACGACAGAGGCGTCGACCACGTCTGACACAGTTCGTCTGAGCGTGCCGAGAGAGGTTCGCGGCGTCATGTCGGCGCTTCGTCGCGCTCCGAGCCGCGTGTACCACGGCTCTGACCCACCCTCCTGGCGTCGTCCGTTTGATGACATCCCTGAGTGCCCCGAGGAGGAGGACTGTGAGCCCAGCGAGCGATCCGTTGCTGTGGGAGATTGCCACTCTCCGAGCTACCGCAGTCACGACTCGGGGTTCTCCGACTCGAGTGACCAAGAGGAGCGGCGGCTCGTCAGCAGGGTTTATGTGAACTGTCAGCCTTCCACGTTGGCGTCATCGTCGCCATCCTCTTCTACTGCATCTGGAGAAGGTGCTGCTGCCGGACAGATTCGACATCCAAGCGGCAGTGATGTTGCAGCTGCTGCCTCAGACGTTGACGCTGACGGAGCAGCAGGAGACGACGATCGCGCTCGGTACGCCGAGCTGACTCGCCGCGCCGGCCGGATGCTGTACAGTCGTGTCGGCGGCGACGTGACCCTGTCGCCGCTGCTGGCCCGTCGGCCGCACGTCAGCACGATCCGCGTCGAGGACGACGGCGGCGGCTCGGGCGGCTGCGGCCCGGTGTCGGTGGCCGTCAGCCAGCCGCCGCGCCGCCGCTGGTCGCTGGCCGATGTCGGACCGGGTGATGGGGACGAGGTGGGCGAGCTGATGTCGGGGCTGGAGCCGGGCCCGGGTGGATGCCGCAGCCTGCCCCGGAGGCACACCACGGTCAGCACGTGTCGCCAGCAGCTTCGGGCGGCCACCGTCAGGTGAGTCGGGCGTCATCAATCCCGAGAGGTTTTTTTCTTTCTGTTTGACTTTTCTTGTAGCTTGTTGGTCTCCAGTGCAGCTGGTTGTCTTGCTAGCAAAACGGTTATGTCCACAGCAATTGGTATTGTGCAGGACGGACGACGAGGTATGATGTCGACGCGTTTTTGAAAGATACATGTCTTGCAGACCTTGTTCAGCGCTTTTCATGTACGTACCTTGACATACTGACGACATTATTCGTCAACGGTCATGCACACGATCGGGGCATTCCTAAATGTCAGGCTCCGGGATATCAACAGGATATCGATGTAGCGTTCTCATGCTGAGGTGGCGCTGTTTTTAGCTGAATCCGGTGTCTGTGGCTGCAGGTGATGTCAGTTTTGCTATTTTGTTTGGCCCTGTCGTGATTCACTCACCCCCCTATCTCAGTTCGGCGGTGACCGCACGGTGAACCCGTCACCAAAATTGGCCCGCGCTGGGCGGCAGCCGAATGCCGCCCGGTGCTGATTCACTGTCAGGAAGCAGTGCGCCCATTTCTGAGCCAGTCAGCAGCGCACCTTTGCGGTCGCGTTTTTCCGCTTCCGTCTCCGGCCCAGAACGCATGCTCTGGTTAGACCTGCAATGAACGCAGCAACACACATCGCCTTCTGGTTAGTACCTCTTCCTGGCGACCAGGAGATATAATTTAACACATCCTGTCAGCGATTGATGAGCTTAACCTTATCGACATCATTAATCACTCGAGACATTCCGATGCGCCTTCGTCATATGCTGGAGTAAGGCAGGCGCTGAAGCCCTCTGGTCTTGAACAGGTGAATGCATCAGGTCAGTGATCCCGGCAAATCTGTTCGCCGAAGGGTTATTTTTCCCTATGCAAAGCTTGGAAAACCTGTAAAACATAATTTGCCGTCAGCCGCTGAATGTCGCGGTTGTTCAAAAGACACGCAAATGCCAGTTGCGGTAGCCTAACGGCTTTGCAACATTTTTATGTTCGGCCGAAACCGATAGCTGCTGAATAAAGCAACAAGACCATTTGTAAGAGAGTGCACTTTTGTTGTCTGGTTGACCAGTGACCAGCTAGATAAGGACTAAAATTTGACTTTATATCCTTTTGAGTGTCTACTAGGCCAGTGACAGACTTGAGTGCCATTCAAACTCCTTATTTTCCACTCTTGTCTACCCCGAGGGTCAGTTTTTACAACCGCCCCCAGTGACATGATCTGCATAATTCCCATGCTCCGGCCGAGAGTTTCTCGTTGAGCAGGTGCGCTGTGACCGTGGAACAGGGCCCAGGTTTGCGCCAACTACTGCCGGGGCCGGGTGTGTCGTGGGAGTGTGCCGCTCCGGTGCGTGCCCGGTCGGCCCCAGTCCCCGGGTTGTCGGCCAAGTACGCCCCGCGGCCGCCGCCGGACTGTCCGCGCAGGACTTACTGTCATGGGAAGGCCGCGAGTGGGGCGTGCACTTGCAGCCGGCCGTGTGAAGAGACGCCCATAGGGCCCCGACTAACGGCCGATGTGCGAAACGAAACGGCCCGATGGATCTCCTCCCACACGGGGAACGGGCAGAGCGATTGGCGATCGGTGCTGCCCGGACCAAGGTCGCCGCTGCCCCAACTGACCGGATACCGGGCCGGACCGGATCTCTGGACTTGTTTCCCATGACGACTACTACAGTCAGCGTCTTGGCGTGGTTCCGGGCCTGGAATTCTAGCACTGCGCGCCACTCAGTTTCGCTTTCGCTGCAGCGTCTGGAGACCGGTTACTGGTGTTTGCTGTGTCATATCCAATCAACAGCCTGCTGTCGACATAGCCCCTACTGCAGCGATAAATCACTGCGAAACTATCGAGCGATGATGGCTATCTGTTGGCGTCGACACCTGCCCGATCCCACGGCTGATAACGTGCACTGTCGCTGGTTATACCGCCTGAGCCCCGGGGACGCTGAGGTCGCTGCGTCAGCCGGAGTGTCCCCACTCACAGCTGTAGCGTCCCCTGCAGTGAACAGCCGCACGGCACACGCGACGTCAGCTCAGGTGTCCAGCCAGGTGCCCTTTTGTCCGCCGATGGACAGGGTAGAGTTTGGTGAACCCGGGTCCCGCTACCGGTTAGCGTGCTGGTCTGTCAGATGCCATCTCGGTGGAGAGTGATGCTACTATGCATTTGAGAGAGATGTGGGTATGCTCTGCGGGTAGGATAGATCGTTGACCGTTGGGGTCGCTGTTGCTGTGGCGGCTGGAGACGGACTCCCCGGATGTCCGACACGCGCCCGGCGTGCCTCGAACGCTCAGCTTCGGTCCCGGCCCCTGTCGGAGCTTTTTACGGACCACAAGCTTCCCATAAAACCCTCCCGGTCGCCTGTAAGTTAACTATAGCCGCGTGTCAAGAAATGTCAGTTTGGATTTCGTGCTGTACGGTCTCGAATTTTTACGGGCCGCTCCTCGTGCGCCCGCGGCCTAAACTCAAATGAATGGCGTTTGGACAATGATCGATGGCCGCAGGTGTGTCCTCAGTGAGTTCCGATGCGATTTCTGCTGACAGTTATCGCTTTTTGAAATCATGCTCACTTACAGAATATATTTAAGCTTGACACAAAAACCTTCATTTGAGACACGAAACCCGACTTCGCCCATAACTTTGCTTGTTTATTACGCAAGAAGCGCTGTAGATTATACCTAGAAGTGAGTACGTGCTAGGAGATTCACCCCTTAGTTCCCTTTTCATTTCATTGGTTTGTACTTCTCATTGCATGGTGAGTAAACAAGTGTTTCGCTCCCTACACTCAGCTGAGGGTTTATCATTTTCATGGGCTACGTTTCTCTAAATAATTACACATTTCATTCAGATCCATGACCTTAAATAGGCATCTGGCGTCGAAAGTTGTGCATGCTTGACCGATGACGTTCGCATGCCCGAAGTCGTTTGGCGCGTCCGTGGCCCCTGCACCGCAGAGAGCAGGTTAAAACGGTCAAGGGAAAATTGTGCGCTTCGTTTCGAATCGAACCACATCGTCACAGTTCAATGATGATGCATTGCTAACTCGCATGAATGCTGATTACGCATACAATTTATGATACGTTCCCGTCATAAGTGGAAGGCTTGACGGCGGACGTTCATCGGCCATGGGGATTTCATCTAACGAATTTGTCTTGAGCTTTGTTGCTGTATGTAATTGACATTAATGAACACTAAACTGATGACCTTTGTAGTATGCATGATGCACATGTAGTACATTTACATAAACCCACGTTCGCCTTCGCTGGGCATTGCACAGTGAAAGTGACGCGATAGTGTCGTCGGGTCAGCAGTTTTTCCGGCTGGACGTGCCTCATCGGCGGCAGGGTCGGCCATTCAGCTGTCAGACGCTCCAGCACCCTTTCCGGCACATTGTCCGCGCAGTATCGCTGATTATTCACGGTGCGTCCGGACACGGTTGGCTGAATCAGGTCGGTCGCCCCTTCTGCAACCGCTTATGTATTTTTCAGCTTCAGGATTTGTGAAGTCGCCGCTTTATTTCCGCCCGGTTACCAGTGGCACACTGGCACTGACACTTTCCACTTGGTTTTATTGATAGCCTGCTTGTTATCCATGTAGTTTTCCTGAGTGGCATTCAATTTTCGGATACATATGCATAAACATATCTTGTTTTTTTGCTCCGATACAGTACTTTATGTAGGTTTTACCGCCCTATCTGTTGCCATCCAGTCCTATCACGTCACCAGTCCGCCTGCTACAACTGCAAACAGCAGTCACCCTGTCAGTTGTAATAAGTCACCATTAGCTCCGTTCTTATCCGGTCGACAGCTCACGGGTGCGGACCTCCCCTCGGCACAGCTGCCAGCTCACTGTTGTCAGGTGACCTGCAGTCCTAAGCCTCAACTCAGAGCGCCGTGGACCCGCAGCCGATGACTATCTTACGCGCATCTGCCGGCCCGCCACCGGAGTCAGTGACCCTTATCGCAGAAATTCAGATGGCTGGGAGTGGGCTGATGTAGGCTGTCCAAGAAAGGATGCGCCGCGAGTTGTTGACCCTCGATTGTGGAAGATGGTTATCTGGCACGTTGACTTTGCTCAACCCTCGAAGGTGCCATTTAGATAAAAATGACTAATTGAATATCCTTGTCTGCTTATCATTTTCAGTGTAATATAATATGCAGAAGACGGGTGCAGCAGATTCGCCGCGCGTCAATAGGCCAAGAATAATGGCATTGTGTTATTACTGCTATCATTGTGTAACTGGACCATAAAAGCGCTGCAGTGAGCTACCCGACACAGCGGGAGCACCAACCTTTCGCCCGGTTGCAGCGGTCCGTCCGTTCCCTTCCCCCCCCCCCCGGCCCATCAAGTACATTCACTTGAGTGCCGTCTTAAATAAAATTCTACCAGCCCTCATATGGCAGGCTGTGGGCGTTTTCAAGTCTCTGTTACACGCTTGAGCGCAGACTTCCCGAGGAAGGCGAGGCACGAGACGCCTTGCATACCGACCGAGTGCCATTTCATTCTCGGGCTGTGCTGCATTACCATACGGATTCGTTGAACTCATGGTCTATTCAGACGCTCGTCGTGTATGACATTGGTGTAGGGTTTTGCTGATGGCCTTCGAGGATCAACTGTTCATCAGGGGGCGAGACTCATGCTGCTGCGAGATGACATTGCGAATGTGCCCTCTATGTCGCTACTTCTATTGCAGAACATTAATTTATTTCGGATAGAACTGAAGAGGAATTTGATATCTGAATGGTCAGCTACCTACTGTTATGATAATTTTAGTCGACAGATGTCTAGGGACGGCTAAAAAATTACCTAAACAAACAGTTCATGTAGCATCTGTGTGCCTTTCTCGGTTGAGACTTTTTCATTACGAGTAGCAATCCCTTCCCCTAACAAATACCTTCCCTGTCCCTTACGTGCCTGCAATACGTACGTAATACGTACTTACGTAATACGTGCCCCTTCAGCTGCCGGTTACGTGACCTGTCACTCCGCTATCTGTCGGGCCGGGG